GCCCCCTCTGTAACCCCATATCCCCTATAGCCCCCTCTGTAACCCCATATCCCCTATAGCCCCCTCTATAACCCCCAGATCCCCTATAGCCCCCATCCCCTATAGCCCTGATGAAATCGAGGACTCCTGGCAGGCCGGGAAGTTCCAACTGGCTGAGAAAGGGAAACTTTGGCCCCGTTTTTGGGAAAGATGGAGAAGAGGATTCTGGCAAAGCCCCCCTGGGGCTGGGGGAGTCACGGGACGGATCCTCCCGGGAAGGTCCTGCAGGAGCAGGGAGGGGATTTGGGAACCCCAGCTCGGCCTAACCAAGGCCAGGTCCTGCCCCTGAGGAGGGACCTCGTCAGGACACAGGGGAGGCACGAGGATTTCGTTTATCTGGATTTCTGGGGAGCCTTTGGCACGATTCCCCAACATCCAAACGGGGATTTCAGGGCTGGGCTGTCCCCTGGGTGCAGAATTGGCCGCACAGTCACATCCAGAGGCTCGTGGGCGGTGGCTCAGAGTCCCAGTGGACATCGGTGACCAGTGGTGCCCTCAGGGGTCACACTGGGACCGGTGTCACTGGATCCATTCATCCCTGGCACGGACAGGGGACAGAGGCCACCCTGAGCCGTGACACCGAGCTGAGGGTCAGGGACAGCCCTGAAGGACGGGGCCATCCCGAGGGACCTGGACGAGCTGGAGCAGCGTCCTGTGGGAATCTCCTGAGGTTTAACAAAGCCAAGGGCAGGTGCTGCCCCTGGGTCAGGGCAAGCCCAGGGATGGATCCAGGGGGATGAGCAGATGGAGCAGCCCTGGGAGAAGGAGCTGGGGGTGCCAAGGGGGTGAGAGCTGGACCTGACCCAGCCCAGAGACCCCCGAGCTGGGCTGAGCCCCCAGCGGGGACAGAGGGGAGGGGGGTTCTGCCCCTCTGCCCTGCTCAGGTGAGACCCCACCTGCAGAGCTTCTCCAGCCCTGGGGACCCACACAGGGAGGACCTGGAGCTGCTGGAGCCAGTCCAGAGGAGGCCACGGAGCTGCTCCCAGGGCAGGAGCCCCTCTGGAACCAGGCTGGGACAGCTGGGGGCGTTCACCTCACTCCAGGGAGACCTTGGAGCCCTTCCAGGGCCTGAAGGGGCTCCAGGAGAGCTGGAGAGGGACTTGGGACAAGGGATGGAAGGGCAGGACACAGGGAATGGCTTCTCGGTGCCGGAGGGCAGGGATGGATGGGATATTGGGAAGGAATTCCTGGCTGTGAGGGTGGGCAGGCCCTGGAATGGATTTCCCAGAGCAGCTGTGGCCCCATCCCTGGAAGTGTCCAAGGCCAGGCTGGACAGGGTTTGGAGCAGCCTGGGACAGTGGGAGGTGTCCCTGGCCATGGCAGGGGTGGGACCAGGTGGGTTTTAGGGTTCTCCTAACCCAGCCCACTCCCTAATTCTGTGTTGTTCCACCCCAATATCCCCCTGACCTCAGGGTCCAGCCCAGTGCCTGCATCCCAAAATTCCAATGTTCTATTTCAGTTTCCCTCTCCAGTGTTTTCATCCTGGTTTCCCAGCCCAGTGTCCCAGCCTGGAGTCTGATCCCTCTGTCCCCAGCTCAGCTCCCAGCCCAGTGTCCCAATGTCCCATCCAAGTGTCCCATGCCAAAGTCCCATCCACACAGCCCAAGGCTGTTTCCATCCTGCTGTCCCATGCCCACATCCCCATCCCAATGTCCTGATGCCATCCCAACGTCATCCCAACAGCCCCATCTCCATGTCCCATCCCAAAATCCCATATCTCTTGTCCCCAAGCCAGTGTCCCCAGCCCTGTCCCCCGCTGCACCCCCACCCAGAA